TAGCTAAAAAAAACAAACAAGCACTCAAAAATAAAAAAGAAGAAAGTGTGGTTGGCATCACCAATGTTTAGAATTTTAAAAATGGTTGAATGTTGTAACATTACTACTGGGTAGAATAATGTAGTGCAGAATATTTGTGACGTTTTACGTCCACCTTTCTCTGTCCAGCTAATAAAGACGGTGATAAAAACAAAGGAAAGATAAGACAGCAGCATCATGAACAGACTGATTCAGTTACTAATAAAAACAAAGGCCAAACATTTAAATGATTGAAATATTGCAGAAGAGCATAACTGATACTCCAGGTTACTCAGAACGCTCACTGAACTATTCAACCAGCCACTGCCTGCATTTTAAACCTGACCGCACAGCTGGCTACAGCAAAAGAAGAAACACATTTTAAATACATTAAATGTTAAAATGTGCACCGGTCAAGTTAACATTCATGACGACCGTTTCCTCCGTTGTTGTTGAACCGTGAGCTTTACTGACCTCTTTACAAACTACTTCAGCTGTTAGTGAGGAGCTGTTTGTCTGACTGCTGTGTGAAGCTGGAGGGGCAAAGACGGCATAGTTCATATCAATATTGATGCAAATGAGTGTCTGAATTCAATATTCATTTTTAGTATCAATTGTTTTGACAACCCCAACCAAAATATTTACATGTCAGAGTAAAAGAACGACGCCTCAATCACAACAATAACAGCAAATACATTTATGAGTGTGACCCGCCAGAAGTAGAGAAGGTTTAAGGACCCGATTCCTTTATTTTTAACCGAAGCAAAGTAGAGCAGAGAGTGAGAAACATCGTGCTGCTGAGTTCAGTGGCTAATCTGACTGACTCTTTGCTTTCTTTCTGTCTGCAAGTTTCTTCTGTTGTTGGTGCCAACCTCCCGCTTTCTGCGCTCTATTCTCACCATTCTGGTCTTCGTCTTGAGCCCCTGCACGGGCAAGCAGCTCCGGTTTGTTGATTAGGCGGGAGGCATTAATGTGCTTGAGGCCCAGGAAAAGGAGGAGAATGGAGGGGACGATCTGGGCAGCCACTGCATCCAGCACTGCTGGCCGGCTAGGAAGCTCGATTAGCACACTCAGTCCAATGATGCACATCTTACGGTCATGGAGTCTGCAGAGAGAATCAGAAGAAGTTTCTGAGAAAGAAGGCTTTTGTTTTTTTGAAGGAGCACAAAAATAAATAAATAAATAAATAAATGAATAAGTGTTCACACAAATTAAACTGTCATCTGTTAATTAAAAGAATTAATGAAAGAACACCTGTTGGTATGTGTGTGTCCATCACAGAGCTGGAGTTACAGGGACGCTAGACTGGAAGTAGGTGGGAAACAGTCTGGCTTTGCTCAAAGCTCAGAAAAACAGATCCAAACATTTCTAAATCTATGTTCACCGGGACACAGTGTCTCTATGGTTCAGTGA